TTCCAGTTCCTGCCAATATCCAGCAATTTCGCACAGCCATTGAAGAGGAGTGGACCAACATTCCACAGGCCACAATTAACAACCTGATCAACTCTATGCGAAGGAGATGTGTTGCACTGCGTGAGGCAAATGGTGGTCACACCAGATACTGACTGGTTTTCGGACCCCCCCGGACCCCCCAATACAGTAAAACTGCACATTTTAGAGTGGCCTTTTATTGTGGCCAGCCTAAGGCACACCTGTGCAATAATCATGCTGTCTAATCAGCATCTTGATATGCCACACCTGTGAGGTGCATGGATTATCTCGGCAAAGGAGAAGTGCTCACTAACACAGATTTAGACAGATTTGTGAACAATATTTGAGAGAAATAGGCCTTTTGTGTACATAGAAAAAGTCTTAGATCTTTGAGTTCAGCTCATGAAAAATGGGGGCAAAAACAAAAGTGTTGTGTGTTGCGGTTAATTTTGTTCAGTGTACATAAATACAGCTTTTAACTTTTTCCAAATTAAAATGTGCATTTCTGAGTCTGCATATTTGTTCAGGCTTTACTGATTCAAAGTAGTGAGAAGTTTAATGGTGACAGCACAAACAAGGCGAGCATTGACCTGAGCCCGATTGAAGTAATGGCCAATCCCACCGTGTTGCTTATGTTGGACCAACTCTCAGAGATTAGAATAATATGAGAGCATAAAGCCTGGGTCTGTTCCTCTCCTTCTCTACTCTTGGTGCTCTCACCTCTTTATGTCCTCCCTCCTCCAAAAGATTGAAAGAAGCTTTACTAACAAGGGTTTAATATGCCAAGCACTAATAAACATGACAGACACATGCATCTTCTTGGCATCCACTGGAGATTGGATTAGACTTCTATTGAAATTATTATTATTTTTGTGACATTGATTGTGATGTTAGGATTGCAAGACAAATTTTAAGTGCATAAAAGTCCACTAGTGTGAATCCCATTTGAATTCATGTCTGAATCTGTCAGAACATCATTAACTCCACATGCATTTAGGATTGCATCATATCTGAATGTTTATTATTAATTAAAATATCCTTTACTACAGTAAATCATTTGTGACAATGTATCTTTAAGTGCACTTGTCATACTAAAATCAATAAGCAAGTCAGATGTTAGTTCAGTAGCAAAATTCTACAAGAGATTTGTTATACTGATGAATTCTTTAGCGTTTTGACCAATTCATTAAAAGAACCGGCTCTTAAGAGTCATTAATTCAATGAATTCATACACACTTTTGCACCTATATAGTAGGGAAGTAGGAATATTCAGACACAGGGTGTAGGCCTGTATTTATTTTACTCTATTATTTTGTGGTATCCTGTAATTTTACGCCATTAATTTAGATTTCAAATTTGTAAGTTGGATAAAATAGGGCTTCTTTTGGGGTGGTCCTATATATTCACATTTATATTGAATCATTTAGAAGATGCCTTTATCTAAACTAAGGGAGTAACACAATTTTATTGTATCAAAATCTTTTAGTATTTGCTCAAGTTCTTTAAACAGCAGAACAAGAAACAAATGTGTTTGCATTTGTCTGATAATTATGCAAATATAATTGGAAAGTCCAAGTCTTTGAGCATTGATTCTATAGAGCCATAATTTAACATAATGGGTTCTCATCTTATCTCAGTCCATCATTACCATAATTTCTCCACTCCTAGCTACCTTGGGCGCAGTGCTATCTGCTCCTTTTGGTGCCTTCTGAGTGAAGCGCCTGCTTTTTCGCGCTGAGTGGACAAAACTACCTACAGTGCAGTTGAGGTTCCTATGGATTCTGTGATGCTCTGCCCTTTCAGCTTCCTCTCCAGTGAAGTGTGCGCGCTGTTGTACACGTACTCGCCCCCGCCTGCCGCTCGCATGCAGATGTTACCGAGTTTACCATGAGCACAGAAGCCCCTCTCACACTTCCAACTGCCAAGTGAAATGAGTCTTCAAAATAATAAATACACATATGCTGGGAAGCTGAATCACCCCACTATAACAAATCAGGTCTCAAAGACTGGACTGGCATGAAACACAGTGAGAGGATGTGAAAGAGGCGTCAAAAGTGTGTGTTTTTTTATAAACCTAAATTGATATGTGTTGATTCATCTGTGTGTAGTCACTCTTATGCTGCTGAGCTGTCTCTTAAACACAGTGTCTCAAATACCCAAAAGAAAAAAAAAGATTTAGCTTTGACCCTTATGGTTGCTATTGTGATTGTTTCGTAGATACTGACTCTGAAATGTTTTGTAAGCACAATTATTTTAAGTCATGATAACAGATAGGCTAAAACATGTGTATGTCATACAGGTTCTCAGTTCCCATAATCTGTAGCATGAAAAGAAAAGCAAGTTTACAATTCAGGATAAATGTAGATTCCTTTTCTGCGATAGTGAGATGTTGAGTAAATAAATTCCCCCAAATTGTAGTGCAGACTACATGTTGCATCCATCAACTTGGTACTCTTTCACAAAATCTTTCAGTTCCTTGCAGTAAATCTTGTTGACTGATGCTCTGCATGTTGAGGCCGACAGCTTCTCCTCAACCCATGTTTTTGAATCCAACAGGTACTGCATGCTGAGAGAGAAAGAGTTCATGTCTGTTAGCTTTAAACTTTATATATTATCATCATATGATCATTTTAACATATCTATGTTAACATATCTATCTATCTATCTATCTATCTGTCTGTCTGTCTGTCTGACAGGAATACAGCCTATATTTGTAAAAATATGTCTCACCCAAACATCCCATTTCAGTAAGACATTGACTGCTAAATGAATGCATGTAAATACTTACTTTCCATTCGAGTCTTTGGTGGGGCCATCGTTGCCCATGATGAGGTACGTCTTGCCCTCTTTCAGCTCATCCTTGCAGTGCTTTCTCTTGGCAAACACCCGTGTGCTGTCTGTGCTCACGCCAGTGTCTCCCGCTGAGGGTCAGAGGTTAAACTCTTAACTTATCTGAGCATATCTGGTTGATTAACAAGCTTAGCAGTGTCCTTTTTATCTAAAATGTATTTTTAAAATGCTCATGTCTTGATCTGTGTTGCTCGTCATTACTACAATGCATATGACACTATACTATAATGCTCAGGAAAAAAGGATAACTTACAAAATCGGAAGACCACGGTCACGGATGTTGAATACAGCATAAAATTGCTCTCTTCAGTAACTGAATCCACAATGACTTCAAATGCTGTCAGAAAAGGAATATGAATAATTAAAGATCAGATATACCTCAGCCACAATTTCTTAATATCTTATTGAAAATACTTGACCCTCTTAGGTTTTGTTAGTGTTTTTTTTGTATAAATATGGAATCACAAACCATAGTCAATGTTGGTGTGATAACAAGCATAATCATATCTGTCCTTTTTGGTGATTTTCATGTCAATTGTTTTCTTCTCTGTGAAACAACCCCCTGATGAAACAGGCATTATTACATTGATGACATAAAACTCCACGCAATTCTACAAAATGCGATCATCTGATTATGATATGTTTGTTTGAATGGGAAATTAATTTCTGAGAGCCTACTTTCTGCACATTGACACACATCATCTGAGCACAGGACAGAAATCGCCTTACTCCTCATGGGGGCGCTGTACAGCACTGAACATCTCCTGTCTGTGAAAATCATATGTGAAAGGATATTGTATGTAGAACTGTCCCCCCCCCCCAAAAAAAAGCTTTTAAATATATTTTTCAAGGTACAAAGTACTCATTCATTCATTCAGATCATAAATTATTATTTCACAGTTTTTGGGAAGATTACAAGGCTTATGACCTGAATGAACCTTGCCATGTTATAATAATAATAATAATAAAAAAATTATCTGACATTTTAAGAGACTTGTTGACTTTGACACACAGTCATCAGGGTCTGTAGGGGTTTATGATATATGCTGTGTTTCTGTCATTTCCTGTCTATGTTTTTTTCTCTGCATGCTGGTTACATCACATGACATGTTTTTCAAATGATAATAAGCAGTGAAGCAATATTTTCTTCTAAATAATAATAATAATAATAGTAGTAGTAGTAATACTACTACTACTACTACTACTACTAATAATAATAAATATGCCAACCTACTTATATATATTTCTTCATTATTATATAAGGACAGTTTATCAATCGTGACATGACATTAAGTTCAGTTGGTCCTGTAAAATGCATTTGAATATAAATTAAGGAATAGCTTGCCTGGTTCATAGTAATCATAAAACATAGCAGGAGCTGGTTGAACTAAACCAATGGCCACAGTTTGCTTCGCTCCGAATGCTATACAGGCCTCACCTCCATCTATCTGAGGGTTTACAGAGAGACAAGTTCAACTACTTGAAAAGATATGGATATATGATTAACTCTGATTGCGTTTGTGCTCATTTCACCTCATTGAAGTACAATAGCACTCTTCCGCGTGTGAGCTCATAGTGAGAAATATACCTGTCCACCAGGTCTTTCAGCTGTTGGAGAGAATATTAGAGAAACAATAGAGGAAAGCAAAATGCAGAAAGACCACTTACTTCATCATAAGATACAGATGGATAACTACTAAAACAGAGGATAAAGACTAGGATTATTTTAGATAATAATATTATATATAAATATAGATATAGTAATACATATTTTGAGTATAATTCCTTATTTATTACAAAAAAAGTCAAAAATCATAGGATAAGATTATGGCTGACCTTTTCTAGATCTGTACTGATTGCATCAAAGCCACTAAGTAGAGTGATGTCAGCAATGGACATTCCAGAGAGGTTCCTGCCCTGTGTGTGACTGTGAGAGAAGACAGAGGATGCTAATAACCTCCAAAACAGCAGATCATGATTAAGATGACTGATGTTTGTTAGAAGTGCTTTTTCTCACCTGACACACACCGTATAAACCACTTCATCTTGTGTGTTTTGTGTAGTGTCTCTTTTTTGTCTGCTGCGAGCATCAAACCACTCGATTGCTGTCCGGGGGAGATCTTCCTCCTCCTTCCTCTCTTCTGCCTGCTCATAGTCATAGTAATTGTAACTTTCTTGTACTTCAGCTAAAAAAAAGAAAAAAGAAAAAAAAGAATAACTGCACATTTATTTCTGCGCATCTGTGTAAATTAGGTATGAATAAGGTTAAATATATTGTTAAATTAGGTCTGAATTTTGGCTTGAATAGTTCATAACTCACTTGTGTACTCCACTTTTCCCTTGACAGTCACATTTATTGACAAATCAGCACAGTTGGAGTCTTCCTTAAGAGCAAAATAAGCCTTTGCCACCTACAGTAACAAAACCGAATAATCCCCATTGTAAAGACAGACAGATAGATAGATAGATAGATAGATAGATAGATAGATGTGTGTGTGTGTAAGTGGCCCTGGTATTCCCTACATTATGGGGACCAAATGTCCCCGCAAGGCTAGTAATACCATTAAATTTTGACCTTGTGGGGACATTTTGTTTTTTTGGTCCCCATGAGGAAACAAGCTTCTAAATCATACAGAATTATATTTGTTGAAAATCTAAAATAGCAGAAAGTTTTGTGTGAGGGGTAAGTTTAGGGGTAGGGTTGGGGTAAAGGAAAAGAAAATACAGTTTGTATAATGTAAATCATTACGCCTGTGGGATGTGTCCATTAAACATGGAAACCCAATGTGTGTGTGTCCTACTATTCAAAAGTTTGGCGTTAGTAAGACTGTACGATTTTGATGTTTTTGAACAAAGTCCTTTATGCTCACCAAGGCTGCATTTTTAAAATAAAAATACAGTAAAAACATGAATACTATGAAATATTATCACAATTTTAAATAACTGTTTTCTATTAATATAGTTTAATATAATTTATTCCTGTGACAGCAAATCTGAATTTTCAGCATCATTACTCCAGTCTTCAGTGTCACATGAGCCTTCAGAGATCATTCTAATATGCTGATTTGGTGCTCAAGAAGCATTTATTATTACCAGTGTTGAAAACAGTCCGAATGTTTTTGTGGAAACTGTGATTGATTGATTGATTTTTTTTTTATGAATACAAAGTTCAAAAGTTTTTTCAAAAGTCATTTTTTGGGTCAACTGAAGCATTTTTTAATATTACTGACCCCGTATACACACTATGGGAATGTTTGTAAAACTTCTTACTTTCATTTTAGCTTTTCCTTCTCCGGAAAGGTTTACATCTATTCCCATTCCCACTAGTCTCTGAAAAGACAAAAGAGATACCATGATAAACAGATCAGAAGGAGAAAATATTCGAAGATATGATGAAACTATGTTGATAAGAACATGAAAAATTACAGTGACACCTGGTGCCGGTTGCATAAACTGCTTAGACTAGTCTTAACACTTAGTCATCTCACTTTTTTCTTCAGGACTGGTCATAACTTTGTAAAGTCAGTTACATAAAAATGTAGGTGGGTCAGGGTAATTTGAATCCGAAAAGTAAGACTGATTTCCACTTGGTTAATTGCTAGTTAAACAAATTAGTTCCTAAGACTCTTAATATAGAGGCTGTTTATGCAACTGGCCCCCGGAGGACAACATGCCAAAATACAGTAGCTCCAGGGCCGTTTCTAGCCATTTTGACGCCCTAGGCGAAATTCCTATTGTGGCCCCTAAACTTTGCATGCAACAATCCGGCAGTAATTGACAGCGCTCTGATCCAATGGCAAACAGGCATCGTCAGATTGACAGTACTCTAGCCCAATGGATGCAGTGGGGGCAGCAATCATATTTCAGGGTGGCCATGCCACTCTTTATCACAACCCTGCAAAAACGTAGTGCCAGTATGTGCACTCATTGGCACCCCCTCCTACTGGTGGTGCCCTGGGGGACCGCCTAGCTTGCCAATACCTAGAAACGGGCCTGAGTAGCTCCTCAGTGTCCTCATGTCAATATATATATAGGCCCCCCTATTTATGTAAATGTGTGTGTGTGTGTCTGTGTGTGTCATGGCACAGTATTTTAGATTTAAGACAGGATTCAATCCTCATTCTCTTTAGCCATTTTGTTAGATTTCTGTCAGTGTTTTGGTTCACTGTCCCAGGTATTTACCCACCTTTTTGAACCTACATTCATTTTTAATTTAAAAAGACTAATAATTAAAACCTTAGTTTTTTCACACATGATTTCCCATTAATGTGAATGTGTTATAGTTAATTAAAAAAAACCCTATAATTTCAGTACTGTCATTAATACATTTGTGACATTATGTTTACCTTTAATTCTGTTTCCACTTTATTTTCATTTTTTTCCAAAAGCAGCTTTTCCATCTCAGACCTCCCTTGAACGGTGAACTGTGCATTGATTTTAGAGACGGGGACTTCTGGTATACTCAGTGCATACTCCGATAAGGCTTCCAATCCCATGATAGTGTCCTAAAGTGAGTTTGAATAGTATAGTGTTATCATTTTATAATTTATTTTCCAAACATTCTTTGGAATTAGAGTAAAATACATATACAGTAGGTACTCTGAAAATTTTCATTCAGTTTCATTAGACCTACCTGTGTTGATTTGAAACCTCCTTCATAGTTCTCTTGTGAAGACAATAAGCAGGCGGCAGCATTTGCTGTTATTAAGTCATTCTGTGCTAGTGCAGTCAGGAGAGCGTATGCGGTGGTCTCTACTGTTAACGCCACTCCAGGGGGCACACGGGAAGTTTTAGCCTCATTTACCAGTCGTATATTTTCATCATCTTGCCAAACAAGACACTCTCCCGCTTATCGGTTCAATTAAGCAGGGGAGAGTAAAAATGTAACGGAAAAAAATAATGAATGACTAATTTAGATATATAAAGTTTCCAACACTTCTATAAAGTTTCAAAACGTGGTATGATACCTGGTTTTGCAAGACTCCTGAGTTTCCTCCAGGCAGACAGTGATTGAGTTCGGTCAGTGAGGCAGACAGACAAACAGTACGCCGTAATGGCTAATGCATAAGGTCTTTTAAGATCATCAACCCGTTTAAGGAGGAAGTCGGTGGCACGGGAGATGCTTTTCTTCTAGTGAGCATTAAAAGACAGTGTTAGTTTTCCTTTATTTATTAACCCCCATAATGCATTTAAAATCTGTATTTTTGACACTAATATAACTTCATAGATAATTTTACAAAAAGTATTTTTGGCACCTAATGGTACTCCATACATACCCGGGTCCAAAATGACCCGGACACTAAACATAACATTTTTCTAAAACTTTTTATGTATTTCTTCCGGGTCAAGAACAGACTTGAATGCATTATGGGGGTTAAAACATTCTTTCAGTAGTACCTCTAACAGGCTTTCTATGTATATTATAGATATATAGTGATCCCACAAAGCGGATACTTAGGAAACTTAATTCACTTTACAGTGTCTGAATTTCATTGCATTACATATAAAATAGCAATTTTTAACCAACTGCTCTCAAGGTGATTTCTTTGGGCATGAAGTCATTTCCCTTCAAGTTCACACAGGTGTCCTAGCAGAATAACCATTGGTATTGTTTTTACATCTAGACAGTTTGACAACTAGAAAGTGTCCAAGACTTTCTGTCTTCATTTTGACAATCTTTTTTTTCATATTTTGAAACAAACTTAATTTCTCTGTGCGATTTTTCTTAAAAAAAAGATATTTTGTAATAATGCAAATACATGTATACATTAGTAATTGTCACAGAGCCCCTTAGTGGACATTATGTTCCTTTCTTACTTTGTCATTCGTTGATGTAGATACTCGTGTTCCTGCCATGTGTTCCCTGGTTCTTGTTTTATGTTTGTTTCATTTATTAAATACTCCTGCATTTAAATCCTCCATTTCTGCCAGCATTCCTTGGCTCCTCACTTTACAGCATTGGCTTGCAGAAGTTTAGCATTTTGCGAGAGAATGCTGGAAATCATGTCTTCTTAATGCTTTTGTGAGTGAATGCAAATTTTCTTGGGGAACACATAAGTTTTACAAGCGAACGCAAAAACACTAAAATATAGCCTAATTTTTCCTTCTATATTTTTCTATCACCATGTCCCCTTAGTGGCTCTGTAAATTGTGGCTTAAGTGTCCAAATACTTTTCATGCAAGTGTAACTGATGCAATCACTGGTTCTTACCACATCAGTTACTTCTTTGTCCAAGAAAGGGAGGGAGCGACAAAGTGCTATCGTGATGAAAGCTGTTAAAGAGGCATCTTTCTCAACTCCTCCAATACCTCCCTACAACAGAAACACTGAATATCAGAATATCAGCACATTTGCTGCAGTACCACAGGAATGAAATTCCTGTTTATGCTATTTTGCAATGTTTGATGTGTTGTTTTATTAAGTGTTTGACAAGGTAAAGCTTTTTGCTAAACCCTTTGGTTTACTGACAAACGATGGAAAGCATTTAGACCTGCATTTCCCTGTGATAGACTGGATTAGCATCAGTAAATGACCCATCGGAGCTCTGTGTTTTAATCAGATATGTGACTGCATGGCGGATGTCCTCCTGCGAAATCATCTTCTCTGTTGTTCCTTGCTGTTCAAGAGTTTCTATCTGTCTTTCAGCCACAAGAGACAACACTTTCACCACCAGCGCAGTCAACCTATGAGAAGTGAGAAGCAATCTAATACTTTAAAGAGTTTGGGATTCTAAATCTAAACATTTTATTGGATAAAATAGTTATTGGATGTGGCAAGTGCAACTCAGAACAAGTCACATTTGTATGACTTGGCATATTTTCGGCATATAAATGCACACCAAATTTACCAGGTGCTTGTGGGATGGTTTAGCCAAGCTCCATAGGATCCATCAGGCTTTTTGAATGTTAAAATCCGTTCATATGCTGCCAGAATAAAATGTTAGTCAGAGCATGGAATCGTCTGACACAATCAAATTGTGTTAAATCATAGGCCTTGGTCAGGAAAGACACAATATACATTTTTTATGAATGACAACAAGGCTGTGAGGGATATTTGGTGCTGATTGTTCAAGGGAAATTCGCCCAAATATGAAAATTCTATTATCATTTTCTCACTTTTACTTCATTCCTGTCACGATCTCCAGCTGGAGTGCCCATGAACTCCACCAGAGGGCACTCCACCCCTGACTCTTGCCACTTTCACAGACTACATTTCCTATAATCCTTTGCCGGACTCACTCGAGTCATTGCAACAGGAAACGGCACTCCTGGCCATGACGAGGGAACTGGAGCAGACTCAAGGACCTGCGCGGGCTCTGGAGCGGACTCAGGGACTAGAGCTGGCTTGTGAACAGACTCCTTACTAAGCACTGGGACTGGAGCAGGCTCGGGAGTGAATTCAGGGACTGGAATGGACAGCACTCGGGAGGTTCTGCAGCAGAAGCTGCCACCTCTGGGGAAACTGCGGTGGTGTGTGTGGCTCAAGGTCAATTCCAAGGCGTCCGAGACTGGCATCCAGTGTGGAGGATCCACCGCTAGTTTCAGCCAGAGCAGCGGGCTCAGCAGGACCTCAGCACTGGTCCTCACAGAGACTGTTCCCCTGGACTCAGTGTTCCCTGTAATGGTGGTCGCCATTCTATGTGTTTGGGCCACACACACCAGCGCAGTTTCCCCAGCGGTGGCTGCCTCTGCTGCAGAACCTCCCGAGTCAGTGGCATCCATTCCAGTCCCCGAATCTTAGTCTAGTTTTCTGGTTTGTCATGTGATTCCCTTGACCTCATGTATCTTGCCATGTGCTCCCTTAGTCCTTGTGTCATGTAGTGATTAGTTGTTTTGATCACATGGTTCTCTGTTCTATTTTCTCATTGGTTCATTGTCTTTACTGTTCACGTGTCTTTGTGTATATAGCCCTCATGTGCCATTGTCTCTTGTCTAGCTTTGTTCGTGTAATACTGTTCGGTGAGTTTGTTCTTGTTCTGCCAAGTCTTGTTTTTTGTGTATCTGTTCTCTTTTGGATTTCATTAAACTGCACATGGGTTCAAACTCAACTTTTTGGATCAGTGGATTTGTTACAATCTAGAACTTTGATCGAACTCTAAAGTACTTGCATCCCTCACAGCCTGACTTTGATTTGTATTAAAATGACATCTACCCTGGCTAAGGTCTATTGTATTGCATTTTGTTTTTTTAAATCTCTTATGTGGCATGCAGGTACAGTAAACCTTGCTCAATGAAATCCAGTGCTTTGTCTCTGGATCCTGCTTCCAGTTCCAGCCAGCGTTGACTTTTGTCCAGGTAGCGGATTGACAAGGCAGTAGGAGACATAAAGATCATAGTCTGCTCTCCACAGCCTTTAGGAGCCCGGACCAGATTTTCCACTTTGGATGGTGAGAGTAATGGAACTGCAGTGGACTGGGCAAATACTACTTCTGCATTCAGAAAAAAAGAGTTTATAGCAAAATAAATATTATTAGGCTTGACCTTGACCAATAAATAAAGTTAAATAAGGATTATCAGTAATGGAGAATTTGAAAGCATTCACAACGACATGCTGCTTTGGACCTTCTAGTTTGACAAACAGGTTGACATCTGTTTCAGGAACAGTGTTGTTTGGGAAAAATCCATTGATAAACAAGCGCCGGTCACTTCTACCTGATGAGCAGAGTTTAGATTTTTATACACGGTGAAATTACTATGTTACAAACATGGTCAGATATGAATATGAAGAATATGTGTAAATTAAACAAGCAATCAAATGACAGCGAACAATCTCACCATCCAAATTAATAAAATAAGTCAGCTCTTCTCTCATTTCCACTCCTTCATTCTGAGATATGAGAATAAAGACAAAATATAGATATTAGAATCACTGAAAGGATATTGTATAAATTTCCACTTCCCCTTACCTTGACCAAGAGCATCTTTTGAATGGCATCCACTCTCATTTTTTCTTCTTCTTCAGCTTCATAAAGTTCAATAGTGATAGGGATTTCACCTATTTTCATGGGAATAGCAGGGAAAGTCACAGTTTGAGATGACTGTGGCTCCAGACTGATTCGGACAGCAGAAGAGGAAGAAGCTGATCCGGGTGAACAAAGACCATCCACTTGTTCCATTTGCACAACGAGCTGACCATGAAAGTTATGAGGGAGGCATGTCAATCTCAGTAATCATTAATATACTGTATTACAATGTATAATGTGACATTTAATGCTATGATTGATTTAAATTAACTAGTTATTTAATAAATACTATGATATATGACTGAACGAACCTGACTACTCCAGTGAAGTAATTTTTAATGGACAGGCAGAAATATATTACTTAAGGTAACAACTTTTTACAGTTCGAAAGATACATTTTAATTATTATAAATATTAATTTGAAAATAAATATGTTAATTTATATTTTTTTATAATACAAATATTATTTCATGCATTGGAAAATGTATCTACAGTAAATGCATATAGCAGTTCCCCTTCAGGAACTCGAGCTGCGTCGAAGTCACTTTGGGAACGCCCTTGCGTGACCGCGTTCTGAAGCACGTGTCAAATCAGTCCAATGGAGTAGCGAGACGTCACGAGCGGGGTGACGTAAGCACCAGAAAGTATAAAAGCGCATCCGGCAGAGCGCAAACCAGCTTCGATGAAGTAGCACCTGGAGGGATGCAGGGAGTATGGCAAAGAGATGCAGCGTCTCGTTCCCTCGGGGAACCATGGTTACATACGTAACCTAGAGATGTTATTATCGCTAAAGTGGTATGATGTGTTCTGAAAAAAATGAAGAAATTCATTTAAACAAACCTCCCTTTCCATCTTGCCATAATTAAAGATCACTGCAACTATAGACAGTTGCTCAAAGCGTTTGACCGAATAGGGAAGCCTCAAGGAAATAAACAATGACTTAAATACAGTAAGGTCAACTGGCTCCACCACACAGAAACCTGCAAACAATAAAAATAAAAAAATTAGTACTTTGGTGGATTTAAATTTAATTCGTTAGCAGTGAGAGGAAAAAATTACCATGGGATGGAGATAAGCTGAGAGCTTGGATCTCCCATGTTGTGATAGAGTGTGGTAAATGGATTTTGTGCCTGGAAGAAAGACCTGGTGCTATTAAACCATTATTCAAGACCTTTGTAAATCCTCAACATTGTTTTAATGGAAATCCAATGGAAACTTTTACATTTTAATACCTGTATGTGTATTTAATTGTAAAAATTTATTTAAATTGTATTTACAAAATTATTATAATAAATGTGTGAGCACATTTTCCCTTAGACTTTAATATCTTATGCACATAAACATTTATATATGCCTACTTTTTAATTACAGACAGACAACCTACTCACCTAACTTTTTCTTTCACATCAATCTGCTTAAACTCAAAGCTTGGAGGGAAATATCGGCGAATTGTTTGTATCTCAAAGTCCAAGAATTCCTCGATTTCATTAGAATTAACAGCTGCGGGAATGAAATGATGGAGAATCATTTGTGGAAGAAAAAAATCAGACTTCATTGCACCAACTGTGGCACAGCTGAATTTGATGGCATTTTACTGACTTCATTGTGCATGATAGCTTTTTGTTAAGATGCTATACTCACTTCGGCCATGCCCTGTCCTCTGGTCCTCTTTCCTCTTTTTGTTTCTTAGCTTGGTTGCAAACTCACAGCACTCTTGGAAGGCTTTCACACAGTCTTTGCTTTCCGTTTTGCTCACTCTTTTCGCTCGTTCCTCGCAAGTAAACTTCATAGGAATCAGGGTGAAGCCATGGCGACAGCATTTCTGCAATTCTGCTTTCTTAAATGCAGCTTCTACACAACAAAAGTGATGAGTTGTAATTGGACATCTTCAAGAGCTCAATCTGATTATAACATACATGGCTAAATGTCAATATAAGTCCAAAATGCCTCCATATTGACAAATTAAACAAAATAAAAAATATGGAGTGCACCTATGACTAAAACATAAGCTTTGAGAATTGATACAAAAGGTAAACAAACATTCAATTGACAATACTATACCTTTTCTAGCCATTTCTGCTTGAATATCTATAGAACGTTTGTTGCGTCTAAAACCAGACTCGCAGCTGAAACCTAGACGCACAATGAATTGGAAAATATTATTTGCATATTGTGACAACTCTTTCATGTACAGACAATAAGTCCAGTAAAACCAGTCTATTTCTTTCTAGAGCAGGGGTCTCCAAACTCAGTCCTGGAGGGCCGGTGTCATGCAGAGTTTAGCTCCAATTTGCCTGTACACACCTGCCTGGAAGTTTCTAGTAGCTATGCCTCGTAAGGCCTTAATTAGCTGGTTCAGGTGTGTTAAAGGGGTCATATGATGTTTCTAAAAAGAACATTATTTTGTGTATTTGGTGTAATGAAATGTGGGTTGGGGCTAAACTCTGCAGGACACCGGAGTTTGGAGACCCCTGTTCTAGAGCATCATTTAGCACCTTTTCTCATCATTGAACGGATTGTGGTCGAGTGGGAGATGAAGGCCAGGCCAGCATCATTAAAAACAGCAGCTGTGTTTTCTCCACCGGCATACGAACACCCCAGATCATAAGACTGCATGGAGGTGAACACCTTCACACAGGAAAATGAGAAACTGTAAAAGAACTCAAAAATAGCTCAGAAAGATTCAGCATCCAGTATTTTTAAATGTCTATTTGTTCTAAGCTTTAGACAACACACCTGTTTTGGAGTGAGTTTGTTTTGAGCACCCAGTGCGTAAATGGCTTTGTCCACAACTAGTAAGGCAACTTTTGTGTTCTTTTGTGTTCCTACATCAATGTCAAGCTCAGCGGTATCATCTGGATGATATTTATGATAGCCATGCAGTTTTAGCTCAAGCTAAATAGAGATGAGATGGGACAGCAGAACTGTAAATATCTGGCAAGTTTTTGTTCCAGCTGTACTGTGTTTACTTACAGAACTTACAAAAACTTTTTAAAAATGCTTTTTAGTGTCTGTTTACCTTTCCCTCACACTTGTCCTCTACATCTACCCACACTGAGTCTGCAATGATGTCACCATTTGTGTCATAGTAAAAAGCGATCACTCTGAAGGACGGGATCATCTCTGGGCTGATATGGATGGATATTTTTACTTCAGAACCTGATGCAACAGAGCTTGCTGATCTCAGCATGCCTCTGCTGAGAATCTGAAGAAACACACACATTTTGCAAGAGTTCTCAGGGTTATAAAACATTACAAAAAATTAAATAAGTTACTAAATGAGTACTTTTTTTCCAGTAAAAATATCTAAACATTCTTAAATCAAGATAAATGTACTAGAAATGCAAACTTTTGACATTGACATGATTGTTTTCAGAGATTATACTTTGTTATTTTTAATATAAATTGAACAAAAACGAACTGTGAGGTTTATGCAAAAAAAACAAAACAACAACAACAAAAAAAAAAACCAAGGCAAAAATAAGATTTACGTTTTACCAAATGTAATAGAAATTTACTTTATGATTGTAAAACATTACTTACCATATAATATATTTTCCCATCTTCTGGATTACAATTGGAAAAAAATGTAATATCCAGAGAATTTTCTGGTAACAGGACTTTATTAGTTATACTAAGATGCAGGAAGCTGTTTCTTGTGGATTTCATTGGGCGCACTTCTTTTGTTGACTTGAAACCATCCACTGTTGCCTGTTGAAATTAATAGGTCAAAAATTTACAGCATATACATTTTGAAAGTAGGCTCACTTCACACTGCCCACAAAATCATTGCATGCTGTAACTTAATATAAAATAAAATAAGTGTACTGCTTGTACCAGCAGTGTGAAACAGGCCTTATAGGTATTAAAAAAAGCTTTATTCTTAGAATGAATTAACCTGCACTGAAACTGAAGGTGGTGTTCCTTCCAAGTTGAAAATGTAAAATGCGATTCCCTCTTTATTAGTTTTAATATCTACAGACTTTTCTTTGGTGCTTGAGACATCCAAGTTCACTTGAATGCCTTCAGCTGGGGAACCATTTGGGTGACGGATGGTGACCTAGCCAAAAACAGAAACCACTGGTATCATATCACAAAATCATTCAAAATATGTTACAAATATAGTAAAAGCTACCATTATGAATTACTGTAAGCATGATTTTCTATGACTGACAGTATCATTATGATGCATGATACTGAGAATAGAGATTCGACTGTGTCAAGCTGTGTGTTTTTTTTTTTTTACCACTGCTTGAAAAGGGAATGTAGGTGTGTAGAACGATCTTGTCCGAGACAGATCCACATTGTACGGGCTCAAAACAACGGGAAGGAAAGCATCAGATTCCTGTACCTCACCACCTTAAGAGGTGCACAGTCATTTTAGTTTAAGAACTAACTTATGAAATGTTGTCAATTTTAACAAGCTAATCTTGGTTGCATTTTTGACCTTTAAAAGTTCAATGAACTTAATCTTAAAATATGATTACTTAAAATATCTGTGACTGTGACAGCAATGTAGAATTGGGCCTGAGTCGCTTCCAATTCCTCTAATGTGGAATTCAGTTTTTGACTGAGGTCTGACATTTTAACTGTAATCTCAGCATGGCCTCCTTTCACCTAAAAAAGGAGAAGACACAATATTAAAGAGTGATCAATCAGTATAGTAATCTGTTAATGTACTTATTCATCTTGGAGACTCAAGAAGTGATGGTTTCTACTCACAGATCCAGTTTTCTCCAATCCCTTGATGAATTCGATTTCTCCAGCATTATTCTCTGACTCGTCCTTTTTTATCCCAAACCGACAATGGAAACCACCATCAATGGTCTTGCCATATGTGTATCTTTCAAATGAGAGAGAGAGAAAAAAAAAAAAGACATTTCAAACTACTGTCTCAAATTTTGTAATTTCATGTTAATACATTAAAAAGAATAGTTCACCCCAGACATGATTGGAATAGCATAAGGATGAGTAAGTGAAGAGTTCAGATGCAAAATCCTCTAAGTGCCATCTGAAATTTTCGTCTAAAATGAGCATTTTTATCAGGCTGCTATGTTTAGGTTAAGTAATTTTACTCTAATGGCAATGTATAGGTCCTTTTCTATGCAATTAAAGTGAAATAACTGAACATAAATATAGGAGCTTGATAAAAATGCCCATTGTAGAAGAAAATTTCAGACGGCATTTAGAGGCTTTTGCATCTGAACTCTTCAAATAATGTCCGAATTCTTATTTATTCTTATTTTGGTGTGAACTATCCCTTTAAGACCATTATTTAATCTGAATGTGAACTTACGAGGTTTTAATGGTGAATGTAAATATCTCAGCATTCACAAGCAGAAAGGCTTTCTCTGAATGAATAGAAACCCCAAAGCTGGGAAGAACTAACAAAAAGGCATTGTATTTGAGTTAGATGCAATATAGTATCTGTAAATAAAGAGATATTTATTTTTTATAGATATTTATAATAGTAAGAATATACTGTATGTGCATGTTCATATCTAATTGTTTAATTTCACTTACCAAACTTCTGGACCTTGAATTCACGCACTGCAGCATTTTTCTCATCACCTTTGTAATGTGCTGTAATCTTCCATACACCAGGTCTAGAGAGATTGATTTAAAAGTCTGATATGGACTGAAATAAATATAGCAGCTGCCCAATGGTGTCATCTTAAAAGAGTGACGAGCATGCTAATATTTATTTCCATAAGCATCACTTTTTATGCTACAAGATTTTGATAATGACTTGATATTGTTATTGATATTGATATTGACTTGATATTGAGATTGACTGTACTTTGAAATATCAGGGATGCGGTAGTCCTTTGACATAACGCCACCTAAAACTTTGTATGCTGATTTCTTGATCTTGTTCCCATCAGAATTCTGAGGATATAGATAAAGTTCAGTTAGACAGGGCACTCCAGTTTCTTAATTTGCTCAATGAATGATGGCAAGAATTTAAACTGCAGTTTCTGTAACACTTTATTTTAGTGTTTTTGTTACACATGCTACATGTACTTACTATAGTAATAAGAGTAAATTATGCATAATTACATGCAACTAACCTTAAACCAAAGCCTAACCCTAATCATATGTGCATGTTGTTAATTAATAGTACTTATTACAGTATAACTGTACTTAAATGTACAGTTATACTGTAATAAGGCCACTGTAAAATAAAGTGTAACCGTACTTTCTTACTTACATATATATAGATATAAACTATCTCTGATTTTGGTCGCATGGAGTGGTCCAGAGTGAAGATCCTGAACCAAACTGGGAAACACACATAACCAGGTTAAATACACAGCAGTAAACCAAATCCACTTTTGCTAGTTTAACGATGGGGAAAACAGTCGGCGCGGCCAGCGCATGGTCTAAAAGGGTTGCCCCTATTCTCTTAATGAGAATGGGTGTGTTTTGGGCATTACGTGCAATAAACCAATCAGAGTCTCATCTCCCATTCCCTTTAAGAGCCAGTTGCGCTCGTGCCATGGCGGATTTGCTATTTACACAGCGGAATTTGCAAGCGCAAAGACAGAACGCATCTCCAGAGAGGAAACGGAGCTGCTCATGCGCGAGCAAATAGGTAGCCTAATTCTGATACATGCCATGACTATCCATTATGACATGTAGGCATTTTTATATTTAAGTAGCCTACACAATAATATTCTTTTACATTGTAATCCTTTAATTTTTAATATTTGGCATGTTTGTGTGCTGCTGTGCATCCCTGAGTGTGTAATAAGCAGAGTGTACGCGCGCTGTGGACCCGCCTATACTTTTCAGTTGCCTCAAAATAGCAACGCGCCAATAATGCACCTGAACACACCTCGTTTTCAGACCAGCATGCCCATGAGTGCACAAATGGGCGCAAATGCATTTGCTATTTAAACAACGTGGCGCAGGATGTGAAAATGACAACTGCGTCGGGCTGAAACTAGCAAAAAACACTTGCATTGCGCCGGGTGTATGATAGGGCCCTAAGAGTCGAGATTTTGAAGCCCAAAAAAGTGCATACATTCATCGTAAAAAGTACTCCACACGGCTCTGAGTGGTTAATAAAGGCCTTCTGAAGCAAAGTGATGCATTTGTGTAAGAAAAATAACCATATAAAAAACCGCAATGTCTAGCTTCCGCTAACTGTCATATGTGTGTTCATGAAAGTGGCGTTCCAGCGGATGACGTAGGACGTAGGTGTAGCGTAAGCTCTGGTGAAAATATGCTAGTCTTGCGAGAACCAAGTTTTGTTCACAGCAAAGGAAAACCAGTCTCCTCTTGGCATATATTGAAATCCTCTGACATTTTTCTTTACAAATCCTTGTTTTGTACTTAATTTGTACTTAATAATTTGTGACCCGTGTTTTGTTTTGCTCTCTCCTCTGTGCTTCCGTGTTTGTCACTTCTCACCGGAGCTTATACGCTACACCTCCACCATCCACTGGACGCCACTCTCTCGTGAATGTGCATACAGTATTAGGCTAGAGATAATGATTTATAAAGTTTTAAATATGGATATTTTTTTATACACAAACGCATCGCTTCACTTCAGAAGGCCTTTATGAACCCTCCGGAGCCGTATGGAGTACTTATATGATGGATGTACGCACTTTTTTAGGCTTCAAAATCTCAACCACCATTCACTGCCATTATAAAAATGGGAAGATCCAGGACATTTTTTAATATAACTCTGATTGTATTCATCTGAAAGAAGTAAGTTATATACACCTAGGATGGCTTGATGGTGAGTAAATCATGGGGTAATTTAAATTTTGGGGTGAACTATTCCTTTAAGTACTTTTACTGTTACTTAAACTAAACAAAATTAAACAAGAACTAAACTGAAAAACCTAAAGTCTTGGGAAAAATTCTCATTCTTATGTTATTATAGGGTGGATACTAAGTGTCATCTACATTATTTTTCATACACATTTGGAAGACGTCACACTGTGATACAGTCATGTTTATTGTTGTATATGATTCTTGTATGTTTGGATTTTTGTTTCAGTTTTGGTAGAGCTTCAGTTTAGTTTTTTTACTGTTGGCTCATTAGTACATGTTAATTGTACCTCTCTGTGTGGGGTTGTATATGGGTTGGTTTGTCTGAATAAAGATGTAGCCACTGTGTTTGGAGACCAAGACACGGGTTTGCCATTTCTGACCATCAACTTCACATGCCAGGTTGAGATAGGGAGGCTCTTCATTTATCGATTTCAGGTCCGAAATGTTCTTTTCAAATACCTTGAAGAGGAAATACACAGAAATGAGCCTCATACACTGTAACTTATTTAAAATGACAAGATGTGTATAAATGCTTATATCATTTGTTTTTTGTCATTTTTATTCTATAATTTGAAAATGGCGTACATTTTTCTTTACAAATCCTTGTTTTGTACTTAATTTGTACTTAATAATTTGTGACCCGTGTTTTGTTTTGCTCTCTCCTCTGTGCTTCCGTGTTTGTCACTTCTCACCGGAGCTTATACGCTACACCTCCACCATCCACTGGACGCCACTCTCTCGTGAATGTGCATACAGTATTAGGCTAGAGATAATGATTTATAAAGTTTTAAATATGGATATTTTTTTATACACAAACGCATCGCTTCACTTCAGAAGGCCTTTATGAACCCTCCGGAGCCGTATGGAGTACTTATATGATGGATGTACGCACTTTTTTAGGCTTCAAAATCTCAACCACCATTCACTGCCATTATAAAAATGGGAAGATCCAGGACATTTTTTAATATAACTCTGATTGTATTCATCTGAAAGAAGTAAGTTATATACACCTAGGATGGCTTGATGGTGAGTAAATCATGGGGTAATTTAAATTTTGGGGTGAACTATTCCTTTAAGTACTTTTACTGTTACTTAAACTAAACAAAATTAAACAAGAACTAAACTGAAAAACCTAAAGTCTTGGGAAAAATTCTCATTCTTATGTTATTATAGGGTGGATACTAAGTGTCATCTACATTATTTTTCATACACATTTGGAAGACGTCACACTGTGATACAGTCATGTTTATTGTTGTATATGATTCTTGTATGTTTGGATTTTTGTTTCAGTTTTGGTAGAGCTTCAGTTTAGTTTTTTTACTGTTGGCTCATTAGTACATGTTAATTGTACCTCTCTGTGTGGGGTTGTATATGGGTTGGTTTGTCTGAATAAAGATGTAGCCACTGTGTTTGGAGACCAAGACACGGGTTTGCCATTTCTGACCATCAACTTCACATGCCAGGTTGAGATAGGGAGGCTCTTCATTTATCGATTTCAGGTCCGAAATGTTCTTTTCAAATACCTTGAAGAGGAAATACACAGAAATGAGCCTCATACACTGTAACTTATTTAAAATGACAAGATGTGTATAAATGCTTATATCATTTGTTTTTTGTCATTTTTATTCTATAATTTGAAAATGGCGTTTCAACATCTACAAATCTAACTACTTATTCTGTGTCCTGCTAAAATAAACTTCTGGTCTTGGTCTTAAATTACATGAGAATGTTTCTATTCATTTAGACATTTATTTTCTTTACCTCAAGAGTCACTGCTTCAAACTGGCCTTTTTTGCTGATTGTTTTGGTCTCACGTGCAGACATGGGAACACGCATCTCTGTTTCTAACTGACAGGACACGGGTTTGCCAAGCAATGCCTCCCCCACCTGAATCCATACGGTTTCTTTCACACCAACATGAAAAACACTCGGTGCAGTGATTAGGAATCTGACACACACACACACACACACACACACACACACACACAGACAGAGAAACCAAGACAATTTCATTAAACTCAATTCAGTTTTGCTAAAAAATGATTTATAAACATGACCAGGTTTCAGGTCAAATGGCGCAGTCTATTTCAGTTGCCTCAAAATAGCAACATGCCAACAATGCGCCTGAGCATCAGTGGGCCTGTTGTGCTTTGACCTGGTCATTTGCATTTCTTCCATAATACTATTCTCTTGATCTTCTATTTCAAATTTTCTACACAAGCTGTCCTTGCCCCTTTCTAGAGAAACTCACCTCATATAATTAACTTAACTGTTTGTCATTGTAAAATAACAGATCTTTCATACAATTTCCATGTTCAGTAAAATAAATACAAATATAATAAAGGAATGTATTATTCCATAAGGAATGTGATTCTTATTTAAATTTCTCTCATAACTTATCATCAGGATTCCATATGGAAATGCATTTGCAAAGCATTACTCCAATACAAGAATAGTTCTGTTCAAATTTACACAAAATCCAACTGAACTTTAAAAGTCAAGAACAATCCTGCAGACATTTCAGTTTTTCCAGAAGAATTTAATTTGATCCCAATAAGTTCCCCCAAAATGATTTTTATTTTTCAACATTTACTCACTCTCATGTTGTTCCAAACCTATATGAGTTTCTCATGCTGAGTTTTTTCTTCAATAGAAGGTATTTTGAAGAATGTGGGTAACCAAAAAGTAGCCGGTAGCCACTGACTTACATAGTATTTTATTCCATACTATAGAAGTCAGTGGCTACTGTCAACTGTTTGTTTACCCATAATACCTTCTTTTGTGGTCAAAAAAAAAAAAAAAAAAACTCGTACAGTTTTGACATGAGGGTAGGCAAATGATGACAGAATTTTAATTTTTAGGTGAATTATCCTTTAAGACCCGTAGTCCAGACTGATGAGGAGACAGAGAAACCAAGACAATTTCATTAAACTCAATTCAGTTTTGCTAAAAAATGATTTATAAACATGACCAGGTTTCAGGTCAAATGGCGCAGTCTATTTCAGTTGCCTCAAAATAGCAACATGCCAACAATGCGCCTGAGCACACCTCGTTTTCAGACCAGCATGCCCATGGGTGCACAAATGGGTGCATTTGCTATTTAAACAATGTGGCACAGGATGTGAAAATGATAACTGCGTCGGGCTGAAACTAGCAAACACTTGCGTCGTGCCTGGCGCCGCATTGCACTGGATGCATGATAGGGCCCAATGAGTTTGCAGTGGCTGGTGGAGGACTACATGTCCTGAAAATCCACTAACAACCACTTTTGAGGACAAGGATGTGGAAGCTAAACACCAAGCTTATCCTCATCTTGATGTACAGTGTGGTAAAGCCTCTTCAAAACTATTGTTATTCATTATTCTGGCTGCAACTTTTATTACATTAAACTGCCATGAAATTGCATTAACTATTAGCAAGATTTTAATAAGCATGCATCACCTACAACAGTAGCCTAAAACAATACCTAAATACCTACGTGGCTATTGGTTAATAATAATAATAATAATAATAAGGTGCGCAGCCTAGGTGCCATCACTACTACTAATGTAACTACTACTACAAGTAATAATAATAATAATAATATTATATATAATACTTGCCTCTTTCTGTTCTCTCCCTGAACAGCACAGAACATGCACAGCATCAGATAGAGAAGAGGACGCATGTGCACCTCCATGGTGAGTGTGTTATTCCTGTGTGAGCAGCAGATAATTTCAAGCACATTTTGTTCTCTCAACTCTGCTATGCAAATGTTGCACAAGAGCAACTGAGTGAATGTTATTATGGAGATTAATGGGGGTTATCAGAGTTCTGTCATTGCACAACTAGGGTCTCTGCTCTCTCATTGGATACATACTTAAAATGTCTTCTCCAAAGTCATGTGATTTGAAAGAAATGTAGACAAATATGGCAACAAATCAATGATTTGATGTGCTTTGGCTCAATTCTGTTTGGATTAGTGGTCAATTTTGAAAATGTAGTACAAAGTCAGTCGATATTATCTAGGTCCATGGTCTTTCACTGGATATAGTTGAAACATTCTCTGAAAATCATGTGGATTTAAAAGAAATTAAGTTCAGTTTATTTCCAGAGAAAGGTTTAGGATTTTACTTTTTTCTTTCAAACGAAAACAAAGAAAAGTATAGAACTGAGAAGTGTTGACCTGAGCATTAATTTTGGAACTTCTTTGAACAAAAGGTCAGATGTTCTTGCTCCTTTGAAACACAAGATGCTCTTCCAAGTTATTTCAAATTATGCTGGATAACATGATCATCAGGTCTTGCACAGATATGTGGATCCCATGCATGTTGAAAAATGTTGATTAAATGGCTATTACGTAAACGCAGGCATTGCTAATTCATCCATAGTACTGTATAAAGATCCACAGTGTACACACAAAAAACATAAATATTGTTTATTAAATATCTTATATTTAAAATTTTTTTTATCATATAATCTAACATTTTTCAGTATTATTATAGAAGACATATAACTTGCATAAATTAGTGCCTGTCCTTCATTTTCTTAATAACCAAGTCCTGATTCCCTGTACAGAACACATACAATATGAAAAAAGTGCATGTTTCTATGCTGTTGTTGCTAGATTTCAGTTTATAGGAAACATACATAAATATAAGCATACAATGTAAAAATATTTTTTTACTATTTATTATAATTGTAGTATGTTTTACAAGAAAACACAGTTTGTCTTTATACTTCACAATTTTAATTAAATTACTTTCAGATTCTTTGTAATTATTTGTAAAAAAATATTTGAGTGAAAATGTTTCTACACCTATTTCAGTGTATTAGTTTGTGTCTCTTCACCCAAGAAACTCGTACAGTTTTGACATGAGGGTAGGCAAATGATGACAGAATTTTAATTTTTAGGTGAATTATCCTTTAAGACCCGTAGTCCAGACTGATGAGGGCGGCTAGCCAGAGGCATGATGTCCATCCACAACTCCTGCACAAGGATCAGGAAGACTCAAGAATTGCGTTTGGACAATCAGACTCTGACTGCCAGGTTGTAGAGGACAGGAGAAACTGGAGCCACAGGGCCACATAAATCCAATTCACTCCAACTGCTACACGTATAACAGGATGACACCAAAAGTCTTCTGAAACAGAGAGTAAATCATACATATAAATCATAAACTTGTGTTAAAAATAATAATAATAATAAAAAAAAGTATCACCACACTCCATAGACTTTAGAGTTTCAGAAGATGCGTCACTGATATTACCAGAGAAGACTGATTTATATTATATTATATTATATTATATTATATTATTACAATAAAAATCATGAAAAAACTTAAATTCTCTCTAAAATTCCAATTATCATAGTCTTGAGTCTGACTCTGAGCCATTTTCTTCCTAGTGATGCCAAACCAGTCAAATAAAGTACATCCAGTTAAATAATGTACATTGTTTGATTTACTGGAAATCCCATGACACTGTGATTCTTTTCCACCTTACCTTTAGTTCCATTGTCCAATTTCATCACTCATGAACTTCAAATGTTGTTGATAAATCCATACAGGAGTTCTGTGGTCAGTGACCGTCTTGGTCAGCGTCCTGTTCTGTCTCTGTCGGTATCTGTGTGTGTGTCCACATCTTTCTCTCCCTTTCCTTCTATCCATCTCATTACATGCAGCAGTGGGGTTGCCTAAGAGACCAGGCCTGAAAAGAGAACATCTCTTGTACTACAATACATGGAGAAAGTGACACAGGATTAGGGGGTGGGGGGTTGAGAGAGAGAGGGAGAAAGAGAGAGAGAGGGAGAAGTATAGATGACAGGTGGATGGATGCAAGAATAACTACATTGGCTTGTGTGACGATGCTGCAGATAGTTAATCTGTTGGAGAGAATGTCTCAAGCCCTTGAGTCTGGCTTATAAAATATGGCTTGATGATATACTCAGCAAACAGGACTTTTCCAAAATCTTCTCTTAATATTGTCTCTAAAATTTGCTGTTACAGTCAAATCAGAGTTGATCTCTGACATACTACAGGTTAACAAAGAGAACGCTATATATAAACTACATAATAAATAAATAAAATATATGCAGCGTGTAGGTTTATTTAAGACAATCTGTGTGTGAATTTCACTTTTACTGTATTTCTGTGCAGTTTCTGTTTAGATTGATGGAGATGATTAGATTCTAAAAGATTTTTCTTTATAGTGGACACTCTTATATGTTATTGTCACAAGTAGGCATTTGAACAGATCTTTAATTGTAAGTATTAAACTTTTGTGCACAATGTGCTTTAAATGATGCCTTAAATCATGTAGCTTATTGAGAAAATGTGTCATTTTACTTTTCTGAGCTTTTAGGAATACAATTTGAGCCTGACATATGACAAAATGAGCAGAATAACACTTTGGCTTACATTGAAGAAAGAACCCAAGCCATATCTAGAGTACAAAATATCAGAGATACTTGTGTACAAGCACTTTTGGGCCAGTAAACAACCACCTAGTGATGCCCTAGTACCCATTCAGAACACCATAGTTACACCTTATCAAATACTAGGAGGATGCAATGTGAAAATCTAGTTTAAATGTTATTTCCTTCACTTGAATTGTTGATTTCTTAAATATATTCCCTTGCCCCTCTAATGTGTTGACTCTTTGGGCTTAGTGACTCTAAGTCAAATCACTTCCTTTATGAAATGTCCCTTTAGCAGGATAGCGCATATATTACCACTGACCACTGTGTTGCCATGGCAAACTTCACACAAAAGGGTGTGGCGTGGGAAAGACTCGCTGAGGTCAGGAGTGAGGGTCAGGAGGTCAGGGATCACCAGCAGCTGGACAACACACAAGAGGAGAGGAGGGTGTGAAAGGAGCAGGGGGCGGTGGGACTGCAGCTGCTGACACAGGGGCTTCAACAAGACATTAACATTGAACTGAGCAATAATAAAGGATATTGATGAGGGTTTGAGCAAAATCCATGGAGCGGTCTTTAGTTGACATGCAGAAAACCCGCTAATGTGTAACGGTCCATGCCTATTAACAAGAGTAATTTTGTGACATCTGTTTTGAACTCTTATTGGTATGTACCATGTATGTGGGGTTCAGTTCATTATATATAATATAATATTTAATATAGGATATTATATAATATATAATATTTAGCCAAACGTAAAAAAAATAAAATAATATATATATATATATATATATATAAAATAAATATATATTAAAACAGAAACAGTGTCCTATTTAATTACTTTTGTTCAAGGCAAAATTCATATCTAATATTATTGATTTAGAATTGAAATGTTATAAGGGAATTAATATGTCACGGCAGGATTGATTGTGTAGTTCCAGGCAGAGATGACTGTGGTCTGAGGTACCAATGCAGGTCCAGGCTGCTTTCTTTCAGGGAGGAGTGAAGGTGAGGTCAGCCATGCTAAGGTCAGGTTGACTTGTTTGTGGGGTCTGTCCTTGGGGGTCAAGGGGAATCAGCCAAAAGAACAAACCAAGGGGACAATGGCAGCATGCAAATGAATAGTGAGATGGTCCATTTGGCTGCTGATTTACATTCCCATATGTCCTCCATGAGAACCTGTATTGTCTAAGAGTTCAGAGATCAGATCAGATTTTTATGAAAATGTCCACACACAATCCTAACTCAGCTATTCACTGAGAGTTTTAAAAGCCAAAAACTTCTGGCGCAGTGGATTGTACCAGATATGCCAAAAAACAAACAAACAAACAAACAAAACCCCCCACCACCCCCCCACAAACCAACCAAAA